GACTTCTTTGCCTGTCCATGGAGGGTTTGGGGCAGCAGTAAGGAGCTGGCTGCCACTGCCTCTTTCAAGATTCTTTCAACTGTCCTACAGCTCGGGGATTTCCTGGTGGCCCCTTATCCAAGCAGGTTCAACCCTGCTTAGCTTTTCAAGACAAATCAAACTCAGCTAGTACTGCCACCCACTGCTCCCTCCACAGTAATATTTTATATTTCTATTTCTATTTCAAATTTGGTCACCGCCTGTCTCACTAAGAAGTGACTCTGGGGGGTTTACAGTAAAAACAAAAAATAAATATTAATTAAAACACAATAAAAATACAATAAAAACCATATTTATACATAAATAATAATATCTTCCAAGGTGCTACTGGTAGCAAGGATATTAACATACAGGAGCATCTTCAAGGTGCTAGCCGCCCCCAGGGTTGGCTGCCCCTTTTCTCGCCCCATGCCGGTTGGCAGAGCCAGGTCTTAACCCCTTTCTGGAAGGTCGAGAGAGTCTCTGGGGGGAGGGTATTCCATAGGGTGGGGGCCACGGCAGAGACGGTTCTCCTTCTGGGCCCCGCCAGTCGACATTCTTTCAGAAATGCTGCCCCCTTGCTGCCCCTCAGCCTTTGAAGGGCCCATGTACTTTTTTTCCTCTGAAGCAACCAATAGAAGATCTGATTTTTTAAATTACTAATTAGGAATAAAGCGGTTGTTTCTATGCCATTCTGCTACAAAATGGCTCTGAGTGGCAGTCATCATCGCAGTATCGTAACAGCCAATGTAATGTAACTACCAAAACGTACATTGTCGTTTTAGCCAATATAAAATATATCGAACAAAAAAAGCCATAAGGAATTCGTATCAGAGCTTCACAGTATACTTGTCAGCATTACTGATGCATTAAACAGTGGTTCTGTTAAAAATATTTCAGTATTACAAATCCATATCTAAAACAGCAGTGAAGGTGAACCAAACGTGAGAACCGAATCTTCAGCAGCAGCCTTCAGGAAAGGAAGCAGGAATCAAAGCCAGGAGCAAAGCTGACATCAGGGCCAGCAACTTCTGTCCACGACTTGGGGTAGAAGGAGAAATGAAATAAAAGCTCCAGCTTCAGTGGGCATCGACACTCCAAAGCTGGGGGGTAATTAGTGCCAAGACAGATGCGCCAACCTGTACTTCCGTATCTCCGGTATGGGTCCGTGCTGCATGAATATAACTGCCCCAATTCAGTCGGTGCACATCGAAACCGCAGTTCATGAAAACAAACAGTGAGGCTACTAATGACAATTAAAATAGCTTATCAAGAGTTTCTGAGTAGATTCAGTAGAAATTCAGCAGAAAGCACTGGTAGAACCTCTCATCAAAAGAGGCAAACTGAAGTTTGATTTGTCCTTAAATTAGGTTCCAGGGTGCCAAGTTGATCTAGCAGCTCTGCGTATATGTTGCTTAGCAGCTACTTGGAACCAAAGCAGCTTATTTTTTTTTAACTTCAGCTTATTTTTTCTCTTCTACAAAGTGTACTTTGTATAGTATTGCACATGCATGCACACACACATATACAAATACGTAAGATATTTTCATGCCTGTCTGGATAAAATTTTTTATTTTTCTTTAAAATTCTTCAGGTATATTGTTTTTAAATCTGCTAGATCCTTAATCTGGTGCAACCTCTATTGCAATCAGTGACCAGCACAATCACTTGTTAACACAAATAATAGTTTAAAAAACTTTAGTAATTTCATCTTGCTCAGTCTCTTGTGTTGGGGAAGAGTTAGTTGGGAGATAACGCTCATGCTCCCTTCCTAGTTAATTGAGCTGCCGTCCCATGCTGGCTCTTCTGATTTTTTGTCTATCAGGCTCTTCTGTCACAATCTGTTGCAAATCCAGTGGAATGCCAAGACAGTGAATACCTGGACGATCATGGCAAATGCAGCCCCTGCAAAGAGTGTGCCCCTGGATTTGAACTTTCCAAGGTAATGTGAAGATGTGCCTGTCGCACCTTTTCAGACATTCATGGCCCAGTAGAGTTTCCAGAGGAAACTGTGATTCCACTGCAGGAATTTATGACTGTAGTCTTCAGCTCAAGAAGCCATTTTATTTTAAATTAAACCAGTCAGGTGTTTTACAAATTACAGATAATTCTCTAGTTATGACCATTCAGCGACCATTCGAAGTTATGACAGTGCTGAAAAAATCAACTTACGACTGGTCCCTGAAGTTACAGCAATTGCAGCACCCTGTGGGCATGTGATCGTAACCTGGGCACTTGGCAACCTGTTTGCACTTATGACTGGTTGCCAAGCACCCTGCAATCATGATTTGCAGCCTTCCTTGCTGGCTTCCCACAAGCAAAGTCAATGGGGAAGCCAGCAGGGAAGATTGCAAGTTGCTCGGGTAAGTCTCCCCCACCCATCCTGGCCTTTCTTTGCTCGCTCGCTTGCTCACTCACATGCACTGCACCCTCCTTCCCCCTTCACTCACACGCACTGCTCCCTGCACTAGTTTGCATGCACCAGCGCCCTCCTTCCTGCTTCACTCGTTCACATGCACCGTGCCCCCTTCGCGCTGTGCTGCGGCTCTGGGGCTTTGCAGGAGGAAGGAGAAAGCCTAATGAACGGCTAGCAGCTTCCAACATAAGCTGAAAGAGCATGCGCCAGAAGCACCCCTGGAGAGTCCTGAAGTGAGCAAAGGGGGAAGGAGGCGCTGGTGCTGCGAGTGGGGGAAGGAGGGTGCGGTGTGTGTGAGCGAGTGAAGGGGGAAGGAGGGTGCTGGTGTGCGTGTGAAGGAGGGTGCAGTGCGTGCAAGTGAGCAAAAGGGGAAGGAGGGTGCTGGTGTGTAGTGAGGAAGGGGGAAGGAGGGCCAAGAAGCCCGAGCTGCAGCATGGCAAGCAGCCCCAGAGCTGCAGTTCTGGGACTGCTTGCCATCCCATAAAGCCAAAAGGACATAGATGGGGGTATAGGTGGGTGAGGGGAGTTGGAGGCAGACCATTATCTTACTGAGGTTCAAGGCAGGGAGGGACCAAGTCCGGAATGACTTGGCTTGGGGTGGGTCCTTGGCCAACAACCAGTAGAATTCACCTAACGACAGCAATGGGGAGTGCCTGGATTGCCTTTGCTAAGCGATGCAGTCATGTGACGTCTCACTTTACAACTGCATCGCTTAGTTATGGAAATTCCGGTCCCAGTTGTGGTCCTTAAGTTGAGGATTACCTGTAAACTGTTGCTCCATTTTGGTTTTTTTGCAAATCGACATGCACTTCAGAATCAAAAGTTTTTCCCTGACATTTTTAGTCTGTTGGGTGAGCCACAGGCCCGTCTTTGCGTGATACCTCCTTCCAAAGGTATATATATATATATATTGTTTACCTGAAAGGAAGACCAGTTTTTTTCCCAAAATTCTTTAGCTTTAAAACAGGTTTAGATGTTTTATTTGCTGAGAATACAGTAGTAGGGGCAGATGGTGGTGGCGGTGGGCATTTTTAGCCAGATGAAGAGACAACAGTGAACTGGGGTAGAAAAGAAAAACCTGGGTGTGCTAGACAGGTTGGTAATGATGAACAGATTTTGTGAGAACTTTGGTGCTAAGTTACTCTCACTGGAATAGGTGGAAGATCATCACCTCTGAAAAGATAGTGGGTGGCATTTCATATATGAAAGCTCCTTCGTATAAACCAGTTCTCTCTTTCTGCAGTGATTTTTCTATGTGTGTAAACAGAACAACAGTCTTGGGTATGTGGCTGTCTTGCAGGAGTGTGGTTATGGGGAAGGGAGAAGCGCTCAATGCACTCCGTGCCAGCCCAGGAAGTTCAAGGACAGATGGGGACATCATGGCTGCAAATCCTGCCTCTCTTGCTCGCTTATCAATCGGGCCCAGAAATTCAACTGCAGCACAACCTCCGATGCCACCTGTGGAGAGTGCTTCCCTGGGTAAGGCTGTCCAGCTCTACAGGCGCCACGGGGAACCTTCCATCAAAACAAGGCCTAAAAAATTAAATGCAGAATTTGGTAGCTGTTGAGAGTCCATTTATGGTTATGGCAGGATATTAATTTGATCAATGAATAAGTCACCCTGTAGAATTTCTTTTTAAGAGCATCACCAAGAATGTCAGTTTAGTCATCAAGGGGGTGGGGGGGAGGGATCCTTTGAGAGGCAAGTCTGCTCTCTGTACCAGCATTTCAGTGAAAGTGATATTACTGAGCAGAAGGTCATAGCAGGAATTCTGAGTCAGTGTCAGCCTCACCAGGTACACCAGAGCAGAAAATCAACTCCCAGGAAGGCTGAAACGACTTTGACTGAGATTGGTTACAACAACAGAATCTTCCCCGTCTGATCGGGCTATACCCCCTCCCCCTTCTTATACTCCAGTGAATCAGGGAGGTGTCTGCCTGATCTGCTTCTCAATGTTATTTTGTTGCTCTGGATTTAAAAAAATGCTTCAGCCTCTTTTCCCTAGATAACTCTCTTGCATTTCTCTTGCATCTCTACAATCAGTCATTTTTTCAGGCTCTGGTCCCAAGTGCAGGATCTTGCAGGATGGTCTAGCACCCAAAATAAGGAATTAAAGGAATTGCCTGGATTTTCTGCTAAATCACTTGTTGTGAGGTGTCAGTGCTGCTTTCCAGGGATGGTTCTCAATATAACTTAAGATTTAGTGATGGACACATGCTTCACCACTCATAGAACACGGCGGCATGGTGAACTCTTAAGATACAGGTTGGACAGCTTTGTGGGCAAACTGATTTCCTACCCTTCTCCACAACCTTCCCCAAATGGAAGGATTTTAAATGGGCTTCAGGACAACTCCCATCATCCCCAATCAATATAAGAAAGGTTTCTTGAAAGTGGTTGCAGTCCTCTAGCTGCTTAGGGTGTTGGATGATTAATAGCTTCAGCTGGGTGTGACTCCTGGCTCTTCACACTCTTTGGACCACCACTGGCGAATGGGGAGGGAGGGTAGAGAAGTACAAAGATAGCTTTGAAGAAGATATGTGGCAGCCATTAGGAAACTATGAGCTTAGCCTCAGGGAGGGGTGAGAAAGAAACCCCCCAATGCCTTGCCTTGACTCTCTTTAGTATAAGAGAGAGGGTAAGAGAAGAACAATCAGGCTTTCAAAATTCTGTTACTATAGCTTATATCAACAGAGTATTTCTTGTGGTTTCCTGACCTTGCTTATCTTGAAAGGCTGACGGGGGGCGGGGTGGTGGTGGTCTGTGGCACACCCTCCATTCACAGCAAGCAGAGTGGAAACTTGTAGGCTGGCCCCAGCCTTGTATTGAGTTACCTCAGAATCCTTTGCCACATGCCAAGCTGAAGAGCCACTCATGAGACCTTCCTAAAATGAAAAAGGTTGAAAGCCCCATGGTGGATCCTGTGAAAGGTTTTCCTATGTTATTAGACATCTCTGCACTTGGGGATGTGGTCCTGGATTCCCTTACATCACAGGTGTGATGATTTTGTATCATCAAGTTGGTCTTAGTGACCATATAGGGATTTTCTCCAGGATGATCTGTCCTCAACTTCAGGTATTCCAGAGGGGAATTACCACTGTAGTGGAGTCCATTCACCTTCTGTTGGTCGTTCTCTTTTTTCTTTCCTTCCGCCTTTCTCAATATTACAGATTTCTTCAGGAAAAATTTGAGTCTAGTTGTTTGTACCTCAAATGAGAACCTCTGGATTGGTTTGTTTTAGGATTGATTTGTTTTCTTGGCTATCCATAGTATTTTCAAGAGTCTTCTCCAACACCAAATGATCAAAAGCATCAATACTCTTTCTATCCTGCTTGTTCAAAGTCCAGTTTTCACTTCTATAGAGTGTCACAGGGAAAACCATTCCCTGCATGATTCTGATCTTTGTAGGTATAGACACATCACAATATCTGAATATTCTTTGCAGAGCCTTCACTGCTATTCTATCAAGTGCTAATCCGTGGCATATTGCTTGACCTCTGGATGATTTACTATTGATAGTCAATCCTAAAAGGCAGAAGTGATCCATCCTGTCAGTGTCTTCACTGTCAGTTCTAAGGCTAGTTGCTATACCTGTTGTCATTTGATTGCTTTTCTTTATATTTTATCTTAATCCTGTTTTTTTTTCCACGGTTCCTTGACTTTCATTACTAGAGCTTGCAGATCATTTTCATTTTCATTTATCAGAGTGGCGTCATCAGCATAGGGCAGGTTATTGATATTTCTTCCTGCAGTTTTAAAAGATGCTCATCTTCTAGTCCAGCTTCCCTCAATATATATATATTTCATATTGGGTTGAGTAAATAAGGGAACAGTATACAGTCTTGTCTCACTTGTTTGCCAACCTTGAGCCAGTCTGTTTTGCCATGTTTGGTCCAGACTGTGGCCTTCTATCTTGTCTGTAGGTTTCACATGAGGATAATAAGATATTCTGGGATTCCAATTTTTCTAAGCATATTCCACAGTTCATCACAGTTGAAGCCTTTCTATAATCAATGAAGCACATACTGACTTCTTTTTTGTATTCTTTGGCTTTCTATATTATCCAGTGTACATCAGCAATAATATCTTGTGTTCCTCAGCCTTTTGTAAAGTCAGCTTGAACATCTGGCATCTTTCTTTCCTTGTAGGGCTCTAATCTGTGTTGGATGATCCTCAGTATTATTTTACTAGCATGTGAAATTAAGGATATTGTATTATAGATGGCACACTCTGTTAAGTCTCTCTTCTTTGGTGTTTGCATGTAGACTGACCTCTTCCAATTTGTTGGCAACTGTGTTATTTTCCAGATTTGCCAGCACAATTTGATTAGAACCATTGCAGATTCTTCTTCTGTTACTTGCCATATTTCTGTAGCTATTTAATCAATTCCTGTAGCCTTCCAATGTGTTAACAACATCCAGTCTGCTGATCTAACTTCATCTTCTAGTACTAGAGGTTCTTGTAAGTAGGGAATATTGTATCTTGGATATTGTCATCTCTACTCTACAGAATTTCAATATATTTTTTCCACCTTTGATTTTCTTGCAAGCAGTTGAAAATGTCGACTGGCATCCTTTAGCATGTAAATTTGAGGTTGGAATGTCCTTTTGAATTTGGAAATCTTTTGGAAGATTAACTTGTTTTTCTGTATCTGTTTCCATCTTTATAAATATTGCTGTAATACCGCTTCTTGTCTTTTCTAATATGGGTAGTCCTCACTTAATGACCACAATTGGGACTGGCAACTCCGTTGCTAAGGGACATGGTAGTTAAATGAGACATGATGTGACCATGACATGCAATTTTACTTTCAGCTTCTCCATTGACTCTGCTTGTCAGAAACCAGCTGTGAAGGGTGCAAATGATGATCATGTGACCACATGACACTGCAATGGTCATAAATGCCTGCTGGCAGCCAAAGCACCCAAATCTCAATCCTGCTTTGGATCATTTTCCTCAATCAATCAATGAACAAGTATAATGTTTTTGACTCATTTGTTTAATTGATCTTTTATCTAGTTTTAGGACATGTGTGGAGAACAGATCATGCTTTAAGTCATATTTATTCTGAAATATTGAAAATTCAAAGGGGTTCACACACTTTAAAGGACCATGGTATATATAGGCATTGTTTTGGTTGTTGGAAGACTGTGTTGGGAATAAAGAAGTCATTGCATTGACAGAAACTGGTATGTTGTTCTCATGCTTCATTTTGGTTTCCTAGGCCATACAAGTCAACTATATTTTCCTCCTCAATATTTTCAACTTTGGCATTCCAGTCTCCAATCACAAGCAGTTCTGTTGATTTCAAATTGATCATAAAACTCATTATCCTCCTCTTCTTCCGCATCAGTGATTAGAGCATAAACTTGAATAATTGTCTTATTAAAGAGTTGTCGGCAAAGTCAAAGCGACTGCTTTGTACCTAAGTTCTGTTCTTGCTGTATCCTTCCTATGAAAGCAATACTGTTCCTTCTTTGTTTTTCACGTCCTGAGTAGTAAGCAGTACTTCCAATTCTAGTACATCTTAATTTGCTAATGCCTAAGATGTCAATGTGTGGTCAATTCATTTCATCTTTCACTGTGTTAAGCTTTTCCATATTCATTCTTCTTATGTTCCATGTGCCCACTATAATTTTGTCTTTCAATTTTGGATTTTCTAAACATGATTAGTATTCCAGAGGATCCTCATCTCTTCCTTAGTAGCATGTTGAATGCCATCTGACATGAGGGGCCATCATCTGGCACGATATTGTCAATCTCTTTTTATTATTTAACCATATGATTTTCTTGGTAAAATTTTCTTGGAGTGGTTTACCATTGTCTTTTCCCATGCAGTATGAAATGAAGGGTTAGCCATTGTCGCTAAAGTGATCATTTGCCTCCAACCTTTTGCTATATTGCTGCTGCTCAGTATTGGTATATGTTTGCTTTAGCTGGGCAGCTAGAACGTCCTTCGCATCTTGGGTGACCCTATTGGGAGTATATATTCTTGGCTGTGTTGTTGGTGCTCTTCATTCATCTCTCCCAGGAACATCCCCCTGCCTCGATGAAGCAGCATAGCAGAGCTTGAGGGGGATCCTAGGTGTAGCAGGTAATTATTCTTTCTTGATGAGAGACCATATGGTGGTGAAGGTTTTAGACTGACTGGAGACTTAGGTTCTAGTCCATCCTCACCCACAGAAACGTCTCGGGTGACTTTGAACCAGGCACTCTCTCTCAGCCCAACTGACATCACAAGGTATTTTTTGTGGGGAAAAATAGGATTTTTGATGAAAGAATAAACAAAATTCCCAGGCTTGTGTGGCAGCGGTGTCAAATCAGGGAATCCAGGATCATGTTCAGAAGATGGTTAGTTTGCTATGTAGGCTGCTCATAATCCTGCTTTTCCACATGCCTAAGGTCCTTGCACCATAAGGAGTAACAACTGCATGCTGAGAACTGGTTGAGCTCAGAAAAAAGCAAATGAACATGGGAGCAGGGATAAAACCAGTTATTCACTTATTTCTCATGCCTGTCTTCTGCACTTTCATGTTGGTACCTCATTGCTAATTTAGTCCATTTTGGGCTGCTCTTTGGTACATTAAATATGAGCTAGATTTATTTGTTTTGTTGAATTAGTTATGGATTGTGAACTCTGCACATGATTAAGTATTCAGGCATATTGGAAACAGTTTCAGTGTATGAATTGGTCCTCAGTGCAGCAGCAGTAAGAGGAACAAGGAACCAGGGTGCAGTATTATTTAAGAGTAATGGATCTTAGGGGGATGCGGTGGCGCAGCAGCTTAATGACGCTGAAAATTGCTGGCCAGAAATGGTCGACACTTCAGCAGTTCGAGCCCAGCTCCGCGCGGAAGAGCGAGCTCCTGCTGCCTCCCCAGCTC